AGCTCCACTTGCGCTTCGCCGAATCTGGAGGCTCCAGTSCCCGTGACGACATGATGTCCGCTGGGACATCAGGGCATCAGTAGCTTCTCGAGAGGAAACGCGACAGCGGCGAAACCTGGCGGGTCCGAGAAYCTCCCCGTCGTCTGGTCTGCGGAGGAGGCTGCAGCAGGTCGCCGTCCTCCGAGCGTGTYGCCGAAGAGAGCAGGACGCGATCCGCTCGGTGAGACGTGAGCGACGGGGACAGAYTCGTCCGACCCGCGATCAGTCAATAGTGATCACGAACCCGGAAGTGCAGCAACGTGATATAGAAACTGTGAAGTGTTCTCTTCACCTTCGGTCTGTTTGATTAAACTGACTCCACTTTACACTGACTACACATGACTTGGCTGGTTTTTGCACATTCACCCTTTTCCTCATAAATCAAACAGGACACTTTGGTGAATTCATGTTTTCATTCTCGTCAAATGTTGTCATCAGACACACTGTCCGAGTATTAACTCATATCTTCACTAATGATTCATGTRTCATCCAACAACAACATGAAACACAGTTGTGGATCCAGGTGAACCTGATCTTCACTGTAGGAAGGTGAATCTCCACTGCTTCATATTTAGTGAGGATCATTTACAGTAAGACACGAGACGGAGAGACAGTAACGTAGTGTTTCATGTCAATCTCACTTGATGCAGTTGTCTGTTCACTGCAAGAGTGAAGTCCAAAGACTTGAGGAGGAAATGCCTGTCATGTGAAGTTGTGAAGGGGAGTTAACTTCTCTCATGACGTCAGTTGGGTATAAAGATGGACCACGTGTCCGCGGCGTCACCCCGTTCGTGAAAACATACTGTAGCGTTCCCCTCCGGCTCCGCATCGCCGGCCGTGTCGGTATAAATACAGAATCTTCTACCGACAAACTGTGTTTGTGAGAATTGAACAAGCCGGTCTTTCACGGTGAGTCTTTTCTGTTAATTAGTTTGATAGAAGTTGAGAAAGAGCAGATAATCGTGAACTCAAGACCACAACTGATTCAGTGTGATGGGGTTTGTTTCTGCAGTTGAACTTTATGACAGAAGAATCCACAGAAAAAGAATTGTGGACATTTATTGCTTCAACATTTTGGCTTAAAGGTGAGATGTTGAATCTAAATGTGTTGCATGGAAATCACTGTCCATTATAATGTATTATCTTTAAAAACTAGATGCTTATGCACAGACTGAGAACAGGTTGACTTTTGTTTTAAAGTGCTCTGGTTATGTGGTGTTGTTTTTAATGTCTTGACCTCAAAAGAGGAAAAAAGAATTGCCAAAGTTTCCAATTCTACATGTGAAGCAGAAAAAATACAGAAACCCGTTCTGTTTGTTACTCCTTCTTCAGATTGTTTACCTCTGTGTGAACATCAATCATTTAAAAAGTAATGGGATCGTTTATCCCTCATCTGTTTCAATGAGAGTTACATACAACTGGAGTTCACACTGTGCCAACCATCATTTGTAGAAATTAACAAGGTGTCTTCCCCTAGACTTTCAAGTTGAGGCATTGAGTGGAGCACGTTCCTCCCTCAAGACCCAAAAGTCTCATTAAAATCAATCAATCTGTTTCCTTCCCAGACTGCTGAACATCAAGATAGAAATTCAAATCTAAACCCTGGAAGCTCTGGTCCTCATCTGCATCCAGAGATTGTTGCTCTCTCTGTTACTGTATAAACTGTTACTTACACTCAGTTTATTCCCTTCCTCTCTGTTTGTGGGTGTGTCTGTCATTCCCAGGCCTCTCTGTGCACTCCTCTCAATACCTAATGCTGTTGGCCATTCTAAGTGCTTCCAGTGGCAATACTGCCTTTATGCAGAGGCTCTCTCCTGAAAGAACCTCCTTTACCACCCTCCTCAGTACTTTCTGTCACGGTCGTCTTTTCTTCCTGTTCCTTAAGTTAAGAGGGTGTCCCGTCCACAGCCGCTGTGTGGCTCCACCCTCTTTATGTGTGTTTCCTTTCCTCCCACACAGTCACCTCTACTTATGCTGCTCACCATCCCGACATCACAAACTGTTCGTCTGGAGTTGAGCTGTGTTGGATGAATCCTCTCTGAGCTGCAGACATGATGACTCTGTTCACTTTACTGCTCATTGTCCCACTTGTCTCTGGTGAGTTTATTAATTCATGTTCACACTGAAACTACGTCTGCACTGAGAGGCATCAGCTGAGTGTGTGATTTTAACAGGACTCAATATCTTCTTTGTTTCCTCAGGTGGATTTGGTCTCACATGTTCTGCTCCGACATTAGAAGCAGAAGAAGGTGAAGACGTGACTCTTTGTTGTGAATTTGGTTCTGTCAACTTGACGGATTACACAGTGGATGTTTCAAGAAATCACCACAGACAGATCGTCCACCTGTATCGACATGGAAAAGACCAACATCTGAAGCAGTACACACACAGAACCACACTGGACCACAAAGAGCTGRGCAGTGGAAGCATCCGACTGAAGATCTCCTCTGTGATGAAGTCTGACAGTGGAAATTACACAT